CATCGAACATGGTCGGATGCTTCTGTTCTGTGATTATATTCTTTGGTATGAAGTATTTAGAGTGATTTTACACGCGAGAAGAATATGCATGGATTAAGGTCTGCATGTCGCCTTCTTCCTCCGGTCATCCTATCTCTTTGACAAAAAGGAAAAGAAAAGAAAAAGATACTCCTGTCTCTCTCATAACCTTCCACACTTACATCGGCATCAACTATCTTTTTTTTTTGGTAAGGGCCTCAACTATCTTTGTGATATCTTTCTTTCAATAACCACAAAACTGTTTCAAATTCTGGAATTGCTCAAATGGTATGCTTGTTCTCCTAACTCCAAGGTCGATTCGAATTACCACGCTTGCTTACTTTCCGAGGACCATCCTCAGGAGCACAGAACCTAGTGTCCGGTGATTACCCAGTATTTGTCATACCATATAAGGATTAGTCGGGTGTGACAAGACTCTCAAATATCTCATTGATATAAAAAAAATTTATGAAGGACTTCATTTCTTCTTCTTCTTCTTTTTTCACTGGTTCAGCGGTCAATTATATTTGTCCCTGATGGCCATGCCCGAGTACTCGGCTCCCGGGCCACGGGTGAACAAAGGGTGGACCCAGGTCTCTCGAGGCAGGGCTCAGAACCCGAGAAAATGATAAAAAAAATCAAAAACTTATTGTATGAATAATTCAATTTTAAACTTTTTAATTTGGTTAATTTAGTACTAAACCTTTTAGCGATTTGCTAACAAAATCCTTCCGATCATTTTTGGTCGGAAATCGATGACATGGACTCTATAAGATGGCCGGTGCTGACGTAGATGATTTTTGTAATTTTTTTAAATTTCAATCTTTTTCTTTCCTTTACCGTTCTTTTTATTTCTTTCTCAATGTTCTATTTTCCTCCTCCGGCATGGGCGGTGTAGCTGACAACGGACTTTCCTGATCTTCTTTCTTGAAGATTCCCTTTTTCCGGAAGAAATGAAACACAAGCCCCCTAGTGCGGTGTGTCTGTGCCGAAGAATTCCCAAAAGGATGGTGAATGCCAATACACCAAATCTCTCTCTCTCTCTCTCTCTCTCTCTCTCTCTCTCTCTCTCTCTCTCTCTCTCTCTCTCTCTCTCTCTCTCTCTCTCTCTCTCTCATTAGGGGTGAGCGGTTCCAGGTTTCTTACAGATTCCACATGGAACTTGGAACCTACCCTCAAGCACAGGTTCTACATTTTTTGAAATCTAGAACCTACCCGTCGGAACCGGAACCTGAAATCTATCCTATCACAGGTTTCATGGTCTAACAGGTTCTTTTTTTTAATTGCATTTTTAGTTAAACAAAACAAAAATGGACACAACAATACTGAACAAGTCTGTCATTCATCAAAGAGAATACAAAAGACTAGTTTCCCTGATATTATGGTTCAAATAAATATAACTAAAATGAGAAGTCATTGCGTGAATCGATACTAGGAGTAAGCAGTTCCATGTTCCGTATAAGTTCCATCCATAATAATAGGTTCCTCATTTTTTTAAACTTGGAACCTACCCTATCACAGGTTCGAGGGTCGGTTCTAGAATCTACTCAGGTTTCACATGTATTATTAATTGAATAATTGAAGTAAACCACCACATTTAATAACCACCACTTACTGCTATGATCCACTAACCACAACTTCTATTTAGACACACGAAGAATATGAAACATTAACAAGTCATAAAATGAAAGCTCAGATTAGTGGTTTCAGATCATACACTCATCATCTAATGCCATGAAATACCGCAGGATCACGAGAAGACAGGTTCAGATTCCAGGTTCCATCTACTTAGAACCTAGAACCACTTGCCGAAACAGGTTCTCCAATTTTTGGAACCTAGAATCTACCCTGCGTACCTTGGAACTTGGAACCTACAAGTTCCTATTGGTTATGTTCTCAGGTTCCACGGTAGAACCTAGAACCATGCTCACCCCTATTTCTAATCTCCAATCTCATCTCTCTCATTCTTGCCTTGCTTAGATTGGTCCATGTACGGCATGCATAGATGCCATTTCACGAGAGAGAGAGAGAGAGAGAGAGAGAGAGAGAGAGAGAGAGAGAGAGAGAGAGAGAGAGAGAGAGAGAGAGAGAGAGAGGCCGAGCTTCCCGCGGGCTTGATTTTGAAAGGCAAAATGAGTTCGAGAGAGAGAGAGGCCGCGGATCGCATGTTCGGCCGGTTCACCAAGCAAACAAATCGATAATGTTGTTGCCCTAATATTAAACAAATCCATATGCTTGATGCAGATTTGCTATGCTTAAACAAAGTTTTCCCTAATATTAAATGTGGAAGAATGCAATAAAGAACGAGAACGCAAGACCATGCGGCAAGGGTCAAATTCCGCTGGCATCAGTGGACTCGATCCCTAACTTCCATGCAATGCCATGGGGAGCTTTGGAAAAATTAAGATGTCAACACTTTCGATTTGAATGTTTAGATTGAATTTTAACTTTTTACATTTTACTTAATCTCCTGTGTACATGCAATTTTGATCTAAAACACTTGAAACTTCCAAAGTATATAAATCTTTACAAGAAATTCATATATCATTTTTAACATTTATTACTATTCAAAAATTGGTGAGAAAACAAAGAAGAAGAAGAAGAAAAAAGTAGCTGCCACTTAATTTTTTAAGTAGAAACAAAAATGCCCTTAAACTAAACAAAACAGATGAATCCCGCTACGATTAGAGCGTGAAATTAACCGTCCGTAATCTTATCTCGCCCATCTTATCTCTCTCGTTCTTACCACAAATGCATTGACCGAACATGTCATTTTTTCTACTAATCTCGGTTGTTCCCCATAACTTCCATGAATGTCTCCATTCTTTTCTTGCTTAGAGTGGTCTGTGTAGGGTACGCACAGAAGCCGTTTCTATGTTTGATGCAAATATGCTATTCTTAAACAAAGGGGAAAAGTGCCAAAAAAAAGTCATAAACCTTTTGCATTAGTGCCAATTTAGTCCTAAATCTTTTTTTGGTGCCAATTCAGTCCTAAACCTTTTGCATTGGTGCCAATTTAGTCCTAAACCTTTTTTTGGTGCCAATTGAGTCCTAAACCTTTTAAATTGGTGCCAATTCAGTCCTAAACCTTTTGTTTTTGTGCCAATTTAGTCCGTCCGGTTAATTTTGATCGGAATTTGCTGACGTAGATGCCTGCCGGCCGGTCACCGGCGCCGACGTGGCGCTGACGTGGACAACTTTAATAATATTTTAATATTTTTTGAATTTTTATTTTTTTTTCCTTTTTTTTTTGGTCCGCCCTCCTTCCTCTGGCCGGTCGCCGGACCGGCGACCGGCCAGAGGCCAGAGGCCGGCGAGCTCGACCTCGCCGGCCCTGGCAAGGGCGGCGGCCTCGCCCGGCGAGGGCTCGAGCCTGGCCATGGTCGGACGAGGCCCGACCTAGCCGGATCTCGGTGAGGTCGAGCCTCGCCCGACCAAGGCTAGGCTCGAGCCCTCGCCGGAGGCCGCGGCGAGGGCGAGCCTAGCCATGGTCGGGCGAGGCCCGACCTCGCCGGATCTGGCGAGGTCGAGCCTCGCCCAGCGACCGAACTGCAGCCTCCAGCAAGGGCTCGAGCCTCGCCTTGGTCGGGCGAGGCTCAACCTCACCGCGGCTAGGCTCACCCTCGCTGCGACCTCCGGCGAGGGCTCGAGCCTCGCCGGGCGAGGCCGCCGCCCTCGCCAATGGCCGGCGAGTTCGAGCTTGCCGGTCTCTGGCCTCTGGCCGGTCGCCGGACCGGCGACCGGCCAGAGGAAGGAGGGCGGACAAAAAAAAAAGTGGAAAAAAAAGAAAAAAAAGGAAAAAAAAATAAAAATTCAAAAAAATATTAAAATATTATTAAAGTTGTCCACGTCAGCGCCACGTCGGCGCCGGTGACCGACCGCCGGCCGGCAGGCGTCCACGTCAGCAAATTCCGGTCAAAATTGACCGGACGGACTAAATTGGCACAAAAACAAAAGGTTTATGACTGAATTGGCACCAATTTAAAAGGTTTAGGACTTAATTGGCATAAAAAAAAGGTTTAGGACTAAATTGGCACAAATGCAAAAGGTTTAGGACTGAATTGGCATCAAAAAAAGGTTTAGGACTAAATTGGCACTAATGCAAAAGGTTTAGGACTTTTTTGGCACTTTTCCCTAAACAAAGAAGTCCATAATTTCTAAATGCGGAAGAATGAAATACATAACGAGAATGCAAGATTATGCCGTATGCATGTTTTTCTTTAAGGGTTGAATTTTGACATCATCAGTGGACTCCATTTTTGACTCTCATGCAATTCGAAATGGACCAAATTTAGGTGTCAACACTTTATACTAGAATACATGGAGTTATTTTTACTTTTCACTTGATATAAATCTTGTGCACATGCATTTTAAGTAGAAATATACATGCCCTTAAACTACACCTTATAGCAATTTCTCCAAATGAATCTTATTTGTCTATCATTGGTTAATTGTTTTCGCCTCTAGGCTAGTCGGTTATTTCGCATTGCTGTAGCAAGTACACAAGATGGTTAACCGTTACTTTAATGTCCTCTGGGTGCCACTTTGTTCCGTTGATATATCAACCTAGATTTCTCTGCAGGTGAATCGCCTATAATTCAATGCCCATCCCATCCGACCATCACTCCGTTAGCTATCGAGACTGTTTGCCACCAAAGAGTCTACAGTTCACGACCTTTGTCGGCCAGAGGGTCGTCGCCAAAGCCATTGCTAAATAGACTTCTACTTTTGGAAGATCGAATTGTTCTGACAGCAGTGAAATCCCGAATAACATATGTTCGAAAAATTCACAAGCACATGGGTGCACTCTTGTAATGGAACTCTATGCTAGAATTAGATTCCGAACTAGACCTAACGCACGACGGGTCTGGGCTATAGAATATTTGAATCTGAGTTGGGAGAATTACTTTGAGCGCTCCTTTTGAGCTTCACAAGACGTTTGTCTACAACTGTAACCATCAGGACCACGCAAAGCAGTCTATAAAGCCTCGCTTCACAGCTTCTTCCTCTTCATCATTACAATTTTCCGAACGTTTCGGCTCTAAAATTGTTCGGCAGGCCTGGTTGTGACCTGAGCCAGCATTGGGTTTCACCTCTTGCGGTGCTGATCTTTCTTCTTCTACGTTTGGGTTTGAGAGGATTCAAGGAAGAGAGATTATGAGGAGGGCAAAAAAGAAAAAGATTTTTCTTCCTTCCTAGTTGAGCATTGTGTCAAAATGTTCAGTCGTTAGATTCCAGTTCCTTTTTATTTGAGAAGGCATAGGCATATCTATTTTAGTGTATGTGCATAAGATTATCATGAATGCAAGTATAAAGCTTTTTATATTAGTCTTACTTAGCTATTGGATGATCATAATGACAACCATCGTGCGGTGAATCCAGTTAGTAGGATTTGATCTTCCAAGTTGCGCATCACATGAGATAATGATCTGGGTTTGTAGGATTTGGTCTTAAGGGATTCTATATCGGTGGGATGAGATAATTGATAGCTTACACTGAAGCTATTCCACAAGAGTCGGGACACCTTGATTTTGTGAAGAGTCAGTATGTTTTAAGCTTGTACGGATCAACACTATCCATCAGCAGATATTTTTGTATGTGTATGTTGGCAAACTGATCTGCTTTTATGCCAAATTAGATGTCAATAGTTATGGTATTTGCTATCTAAAATGCGCTCAATTCTTTGGAGCGTGACATGGCCTCTCCATGGCAGCCTCTAGCAAGAATTTGATAGCATGGATTTAGCTGTTCTGAGTCAATTATTCTTTTGTGATCCAGATCTTGCGGTCCAACATTGTTTAGCTGGTTCTCATGGGGAGTGTTATTGATGTTGCAATTGAGGCAAGCATCTGATTTCTTCTCTAGTATTTGTATTGGTTACTTATGTTCTGATTTGAACGTAAGTCCTAAACAGTAGCTATGATGTACTGCCTGATGTGCAGTCATATGTTATTCATTCTTCCAACATGGAGTAGTAGACTTCTCAATCTCAGTTGTTTCCGCATCTCCATGCTCATCTTTGAATTTCATTCACACTCAAACATTTAGTAATAGCTCAGAAGTTCCTTTTATTGCTGAGAGTTGGGGCCACATCAAAAATATCTTCACACCAAAAAATGTCATCTAAACCTTTGCTAAGGTGAACAAAGGGATCAGGTTCTGTACAATGGACCGCAAAAGTTGAAACTAAAAAGTCTAATGAAATGCATTAAGCATACATGATGATGAGATAAGATGCATTTGAATTGCTAGGTCAAGTCTCCAAGTGAAAATTGCGTTTGTATGGAATGCGTGACTGGCATCACATTATACATTATCTGAGTCTATGGCATTGAGCAACTCTTCTGCTGAGCATGGCCAAGAAAACCAACCTTTGATTCTCTCTCTCTCTCTCTGCGCGTCTGTGTCTGTGTATGTGTGAGTGGGGAGAGTGCGGCGCCCTCGCACACTCGTGTTAATTTAAGGTTTGTGTGGCATCCATGTATTAAAGTGACTTGACAACTTGCTATGAGAACATATTCAGTGGAAACTGTTGATTTGAAGAATGACTGGTTGTTGTGAAGATTCTTCCTTCTTGGCAAAGATGCTTTTAACACATTTTTGCCAACTTCACTAATGTGCGGTACTGACAGGAGAAAATGCCCTGCTTACAGGAGGGTAGCTTGACTGGGAGAAAGCCCACAGTTGTTTTTGTTTTGGGTGAGTATCTATTCTTAAGTTTCTGCAACTTACTCTAGAGATAACAGGGGTCCTCTAACCAATTCCATCAGAGTTAGCTTCTATTAGTTCCTAATACTTTTATTTTGACCTATTATTTAAGTTTGTCAAGTTGCAGAAAGTAGACTCATTCAAATCTTCCAGCAGAGTTGCTTGAGTAAATGCATTGTGTTTCAAATTTTCAATATGCCTGTCTTTCGCTTGAAGTTTTGATCCTTCCCCTTTGGATCATATGTTTGGTGCTTGATTTAGTGTTAGGTGAAATTTTTTTTTTAAGGGATGATGACATAAATGGTCCATGAACTTTGGCCCAATATGCAATGAGGTTCATGAACTTTTAATTTGTTCAATGTAGTTTATGGACTTTAACCCAATGTGCAATATAGTCCCTGGACTTTTAATTTATTCAATGTGGTCTTTGAACTTTTGGTAAATGTTCAATCCAATCCCTGAATTATTACATCCCTGAATTCAATCTAGTCCTTAGATTATCTAGTGCATGGACTAAATTGAACATGTATCAAAAGTTCAGGAATTACATTGAATAAATTAAAAGTTCAGGGACTGCATTGCACATGTGCTAAAGTTCAGGGACCACATTGAACAAATTAAATATTAATGAACCATATTGAAAATTAGGTCAAAGTTCAAGAACTGTTTGTGTCATTTTTTTTTAAGACCATATTCAACTTAACCACTCAGTTTTTCTTTTTCTTTTTGACTTTATTTGATTCCTTTCCCACTTTTTTCAGCATTGACCTTTCTATTTTCTTTATTTTCAGTATATTCTATTCCTTAAAATACGGAATGAACATTCAGTAGCACCATGATGTTAATTTAAATATAAATCTATTATATGAAATCCACCATATGTTATTTCTAAGGGGCATTATATATGACCATTTCTTATTATGCAAGTTTAATTGTTTCTGCTTATACTTACGACAGACTGGGGTTCATATTTATCTTCTTGATGGAGAATATTAGAATAGCATCATTTAATGGCCGAAAGTTTAACTATGGAGCATATGATTTAATGTATTCACATTAAATTTTGTTTATACAGATGTTTATATGTCTCTTTAAAATTCCTTTTAACTTTTTGGAAGGAGTGTTTTTGTTGCTTCAGAAGATTTATACATTCTTATATGCCAAAAGAATAGAGGCTCTTTCAACCCTTTTAATTTGACTTTCTTAAGTTTGTAGGTGGACCTGGCAGTGGAAAGGGTACCCAATGTGCCAATATTGCTCAGCACTTTGGCTTCACACATCTCAATACTGGTGACCTTCTCCGAGCGGAAAGCAGATCTGGTTCTGAAAATGGGTAATAATGCCGCTGTCATTGATCTTCTATTATTTCAGGAAGTTAGTGTAGATAGTACCTCTACTTGTACTTTTCGCTACAGATATGTGCATTCTCTATTTTCAAGTGGTAGGATCCTCTTCTTGACTAAACCTGATTATGCAAGTCCAGGCATGTTCAGGGTGTATTTTCACGACGTAGGATCCTCTTTTTTTTACCGGAGGGATGACTGGAGCCATCTTGAGATGAACGAATGCACATGATAGGAGCCATGTCTTTTAGGTTCTTGTACAATTGAGTTGTCTCTTTGAAGGTTTGACGACCAACCAAATTTCTTCTTTCAATTGGCAGAACTATGATCCAGAATATGATTAAGGAGGGAAAGATTGTGCCTACGGAAGTGACAATCAAGCTCCTGCAGAAAGCGATGCAGGAAAGTGGAAATGACAAGTTGCTTATTGATGGTTTCCCTCGGGATGACGGAAGTCGTGCTGCATTTGAAGCTGTTGTAAGTTGGACCACACCTTTTTTTGTTGGAAATGCGCTGCTCTAATCTTATTACTGATCTAGTATCATCCCACACATTTCAAATGTGATCCTTTTGGCATTCCATTTTAATCTTCCTTCCTAAAGGGTTGACAAGTGAAATTTCTGCAGATTAAAATTGAGCCAGAATTCGTGTTGTTTCTTGATTGTTCTGAGGAAGAGATGAAAACGCGCTTGTTGAATAGGAATCAGGTCAGGCAATTATTTCTTCACCACCTTTTCCCATACAAGCACATATTCTTGCTTTTGCCATCTTTCCAGCTCATCTAGTCATTTTAGAAATCTGAAGCTTTCCCACTACTTGTTACTGGTTTTGAAGGGAAGAGAAGATGACAACATAGACACAATAAGGAAAAGGTTCAAGGTGTTCAGGGAGTCTACCCTCCCAGTCATCGAGTATTACAATTCCAAGGGAAAAGTCAGAAAGGTGAGGAAATCTTTTAGGGAAAATGACACAAACAATTCCTGGACTTTGACCTAATTTTTAATGTGGTCCCTGAATTTTTAATTTATTCAATGTCGTCCTTGAACTTTTGTTACATGGTCAATTTAGTCCCTAAAATATATGAAAATATTCAATGTATTATTTCCACTAATTCAAGTTCGAGGACTACATTGAATATTTTTATATAATTCATGGACTACATTGAACATGTACCGAAAGTCCAGGGACATATTGAACATTAGGCTAAAGTTCAAGAACCATATTGCACATTAGACCAAAGTTTAGGGACTGTTTGTATCATTATCCCGATTTCTTAATGTGTTGAAATCTTCTCCAGGTGTATTTGCATGTTCTTATTTCAGTTAATCAATTATCAATTTCGGCATTAATTCAGATTGATGCTGGAAAGCCTGCTCAAGAGGTCTTTGAAGCCGTCAAAATAATTTTTACCTCAAAATCAGAGAAGGTAAACCGCTGCGGTTGCATCATCTTATAGGCCTCCTTTGCTGTGAAAATCACTGAAAGGAACAGATCAGTGTTGATCAATTGGGCTGTATCGTCTTCACAAGGCGATGTGATGCTATATGTTTATTAGATAACATTTAATGCAATTATTTAGCATAATGATGCAGCTTAAGAAAACTTTGCATCTGTACATCGGTCTAACTATGTAAGGCTTCTATCTTTCCACAGCCAAAATGGCTCCAGTCACGTCCTACGGCTATTTGTACCCTCGTTGAACTCTCTGACACTAAAGTTTTTCATGTTCTATAATCGTTTTGAAGAGAAGTAATTCGTGCATTTATAGAGAATTTCCAGGGAAAAAATTCCATCATGTTGTATGTTACCCTTTTAGAAACAGGTGCAACGTGCACCGCAGTTTGCATTTTTCGGTGCCCCGCTATGAATGAAAGATCAAGCAGCACTTGATTGGTTTGGTCAGTCAAATGCTGGTTTTTTCATTCTTTGCACAAAAGGCCAATGGGTTATACTAAAAAAGTCTCCCCGTTTGGGTAAATTGTTCAAAAATTCATAAACCTAGTACATTTTTGTCAATTTAGTCATGAATATTTTAATTGTGCCAAATTGAGTCCCGAACTTTTTCACATTTTGCAAATTGAGTCAATCCAGCCAATTTTGGCTAGAAATTGCCGACGTGGACGCTGGCATCCTACGTTGATAATTTTTAATAATATTTTAATATTTTATTTTCTTTATTTTTCTTTTTCTTTCTTCCTCCACCGGTCATTGGGCATCGGTGATGGCTAGCGACTAGCCAAAGGCAACTATCAGTGAGGGCAACCCTCGCTAGCCTCAGGTGAGGTCACCCTCGTCGGGATCTGGCGAGGGGCGACCTCGCCGAAAGTCAGTGAGAGTCGGCCTCATCAGCTTCGGACAAGGGACAATATTAAATATATTCGTATAGTTAAGGAATTAAGTTGAACATATATTAAAAGTCGAGAGATCATATCGAACAAATTGAAAGTTCATGGATCATATTGAACAAATTAAAAATTTAGAGATCACATTACGCATTGAACAAAAGTTCATGGACTATTTGTGTCATTATCCCTAATCATAACAAATTGAGTCAACTAAATGTCGCGGATTGTTAGGATTTGGGAGAAACCCATGCCGAGTGTTAGCACAATCTTGTAGGAGGCTCTGACTGCCCTCACTTGGTAAGCCGTCGTTCTAATCAACGCCCCACCCCTCGGGGATTTCACCTCGGGAGGGTCACGACAATGCCGAGTGTTAGAACAATTTCGCTTTTATTTAGAATCCTCATTGAGTACTAATAGTGGATGGTCAAGAACTTTCCCATATGCTTTCTTTCTTTTTCGTGTTTTTTTCCTTTTGGCCAATGGTTGGTCAATGGTAGTGAGATTGTTGAAGATTTGGTCATTGATGTTCAATGAACGTAGCTTTTATTCACTAGGAATCTTTCAATGTGTTATTTCCATGAGGCTTCACTGAATGGGAGTTACATATCAGAACAGGCATATTTTCTTAACTTTGTATGCTGTTATATCGAGTCACTTTTCCAGAGAAATCCGATTATGGCTCTGAACACGGTGTGTATGATGCTGGAATTTTCTTTGTTCCATCCCAGGTGTAACAATTGGGCCAAAGCCCAAAATTCCTTTTTGGATTAATACCACCAAAATTTCAAACTGATATACCTACCACAAATTTACCCAAAACTAAATTTATTTACCACGAAAAACCTCAAATTGGTACACCTGTGACAAACTTACCCCAAACTAGTTTTTTGATCACCCAAAAACCTCAATCTGGTACATTTATGACAAATTTACCATTCGTTAGTTTTTGTGAAATTGGATTAATATCACGAAAAATCACGGACTGGTACACCTATGACAAACGGAGGATAAGACCCCAAACCGGTATACCCGTCAACTGTCACAGGTCATCCAACTCAGCAATTTGATGGTAAAATTTAACGGAAATTAATAGAGGGTAAATTTTCACAGATGTATCGGTTTGGGATTTTTGGTGGTCAAAAAATTAGTTTGAGATAAATTTATCACATGTGTAACAGTTTGGGGTTTTTCGTAGTATTAACCCTTCTTTTTTTAGTCAAACATCTCAACCCACTTAATTTACCTTGGCCCTCACTCTATCTGATTACATATTCAAAAGTCCAAATCAAAATAGTGGAGAGAGATCACATGTATATAAAGAGAATATGAACCCTATTGTCGAGCAATGTGGTACATCTCAATAGTCCCTCTCATGTGAAAATCGAATTATAAGTGGCAAATGGAAATTTGACTAATGGGAGTGAACGCACACGCAAAAGGAGCATAACCTTAGCTCTGATACCACGTTAGAAAGTTTGATGCAAAAGCTTAAATTAATAGGTAGAGAGAGATCGCATGTATATAAAGAGCGTATGAATCTCATTATCAAGCAATGTGTGGGTGTTTCAACATATTAAAATTTGGGATAAGTGCACCGGAAGTTCTAAAATTTGTCACGAAAATGCAATTGAGTCATAAAACTTACAAAAAATGCAATCAAATCGTAAAACTTGTCAAATTGGTTGAACTGAGTCATTCCGTTAACTCCGTCCAACTTGGTTGACAGAAAATGCTGACATGGCTTCTTTTTTTAAAAATATTTTCTCTCTTCTACGTGGCATTAATGTTAACTAAAACACTAAAACGATATCATTTTGATCAAAATTTCAATTTCTTAACTTTAATTATTAGATTAAAAAAATAAGAAAGCTAAAAGATTTTAAAAGATAAAAAAAAGGAAAATTCAGGGGTGGGCCTACTCCTCCTGCCTATGCCCGCTATCCCATCACTTGTGGGACGTCAGCGATAGTGCTGGCCCTTGCTAGAGTTGAAAGAGGGCCGCAACCCTCTCCCAGGTATGGGCAAGGGTCGCCGGACTTTGCCTAGGTCTGGCTGAGGACATGGGCAAGGGTTACCGCCCTTCACTATTCTAGTGAGGCTCGCCAGCCGTCATTGCCACCCCACTGGCGATGGGGTGGCAGCCACAGGCGAAGGGCTTGGCCCTCCTTCGACCGATGGTTTTTTCTCTTTTCTTGTGTGTGTGCTTTGTTTAAAAATTTTGGCCTTTTGTTTTTTAGTTTGTCTTTTTTTTGAAAAACTTTTAAATTATTTAAACCTAATTTGATTAAGATTTGGTGTGAAAATTAGGATTCGAATCAAAACGACGTTGTTTTAGTGCTTTAGTTAACTTTAACACCATGTAGGAGAAAAAAAAAAAAAAACAAAACCACATCAGCATTTTTTCGTTAATCAAATTGTACAGAGTTAACGGAAAACTTGATTGAATCAATTTACAAGTTTTAAAACTTAACTGTACTTTTTGAAAATTTTAAGATTTCATCACACTTTTGCCATGAGTTTTAGGATTTCTACTGTACTAATCCCTTAAAATTTCTGTATAACGAAATGTCATGATTCCCAATGCATTAATTGTCCTTGTGACGTGCAAATTCGATACTTTGAAAATCGAATAGGTCCTCGTCAAACACTTTTAACAAGCCACTTAACAAAAATCGAAATTAAAATTACAATTGCATACACGAATTAAGGACCAAACTAATTGATAAGGGGACTACAAAAAGTTCGTACGTTTTACTTCATTGTGTACCAAAGCATTAACAATCTAGAAGTTGGGTGTACCTGTCTGTACTTTTGGTCCATTTTCCTTTCTTTTCTTTCATTTTTTGTTTTTTTTTTTGAATTTTCTTATAGAAAGTTCAGCATGCCGTGGCCCGGCAATAACTCCTCTCCTTTAATTTAAATCGCCCACTTCCTATTTTCGTGACGTGAACTTCGTCGACAAGAAAAAGTGGACAACATAACGTGGGCAATTTTCCTCCTCTAATGTACTCCATCAATCCCCATTGATTGCGCCATTGGCACTCTCCTCAAAGTTCACCCCACCTCCAAGAAAAGCCCTTTGGATCCTCTTGAAGAAGATATTTATGCAATTATTATTTGACATGTCATCAATAGATGAAAATGCAAGTTAGTGACAAGTGATAGGCTCTTTCGAAATTCAAGTACCAGACAGAATTAAGGTTCTCATCATTCGGGTACCTTAAACTGGCTCGTTAATCAAGTTCATCGTGAAAACGACATATTTTATCACGACTAACGAAATTGATTTGGAAAATTGATTTGCTGTAGGATGCGATGGCACTTGTTTAGACATTTAATGGGGTTCCTTAGTTCGCCTTGTCCAACGACCAATTAAATTTATCGCGAAACTTATGTATGCGAATTTCGTAAATTAATCTTAATATTATCAATCATCAATTGATAGGATTTTCTTTTTCTCCTTTGCAACAGAATATTACATCTCATCCATCCTAATCATTCTAGCAGGCTAAATGTTATGAAATTCTCATTTTCTTTTCTTCTAGAATCATGACATGCCTAGGGTAACGATTGGCTTGGTCGTCCACATGAAAATGACGTACAAATAACGTACTCTTTTTTGGTCGAATGAAATAACGTAAAAAATCCTCTTCACGGAAGTATTCAATGTCGAGCTATGCCATAAGCACCTAAAAATCCTCTTCATGGAAGTAGTCAATGCTGAGCTATGCCAGGCACACTAAAACCTTCAAATATTCGGTAACTATTTGTCGCATCATTTTGATCATAACCTAGACTCCATTACATATAGCATGTATCGTCTCACATGTCCAATAAAGTCCTTTAAGCTATTAAGAAAATTGAAAAAAAAAAAAAGTTAATGGATTTATGACTCAATGAGAAAGTATTCGATAAACCAAGTACACATATTAAATTAAATCTGGACTGTTAGGTGTGGGTACATACAATAAATAAACTTATAATAATTTCTCGTGACTTCACGTCAATATGGTCCATGTTGTTGTTGAGATTTATCTGTATTTTTTCTTCATCCAAAGAGTAGAGTGGGTTCACAGGAATCCACTATATACACTTGCAAGCATAGAAAACCCCAACCTAATCCCCTTTAAGTTATAGAGGAATAGAGAGAGTTTACATGGCGAGCATCCTCAAGCTCAACGTCATAGCGACGGCGGCTCTCGACAAAGCCACGCTCGCCACCGTGGCCGTCATCGTCTCCCTCGTCCGTCTTTGCGCCAAGGCGTTCCGATGGAGCCGGTACCCTCTGGCTCTCACCCTTTGCCGGGGACACGAATCTCCCCCGTACTGCGCGGTATGCCTGCACCACGTCGCTCCCGGCGAGCGCTACCGGAGGCTGCAGGGATGCGGCCACTGCTTCCACGC